CTCGACTGAGAAGAAAAAAAAGGTCTCACAAGAAAAGTAAAGTCACGAGAAGGCTGCCACTCTTGCAGATCCAAGAAAAATATGTCTAGATTGGATCTAAACCAAAACCAGGCTGCTGAAAGCCGCGAATTTTTAACGAGACACGATCAAACCGACTCGATTCAGTCAGTGTCCCATTGAGGGAGGTGTCCCACGAAGGGGGTCGTGACTCTAGATCTAGAATCTAGATCTCTCGGTTTACTTACTGTTTAGACATGTCAGGGTTCCAGGCACCTCATTTTTCCCACAAAATTCAACATCATGCAGTCGGTTATGCGATCTTGTTCCGATGTCAGCTACAGCCTTTGTTGTTTTTGTATACCTATTGGAGTTGGCTGTGTGAACTGTGTCTTTTCTAAATGAAAATATGTTTCTCAAAACTCTCAAACTCCAAGCACTGGCAGACAGTCCTTTTCTCATCTTTTGAGTTGAACTGATGAATCATAGAAGGTTTCCTTTCCATCAATCAGCAAAACAGTTGAAGAGTCGTTCACACGAAGACTGATGCAATATTGTCAAGTGAGTTCATAATTTTACTGCGAAGGAGGATAGAGAGGGACATCAGTCGTTAGGTCAAAGCAGGACAGCATGCACTTGTGACTCAGGTTTTCTAAACTTTTTTTCTACCTGTGTGTTCTCAACAGTAACCAGTTATTTCCGGGTCAACGCCTATGGCCTACTTCCGGTCGTACGGTGGTCTCCACGAAATTTTAATATGAAATAAAGTGTGAAATGTAAATCAAAATTAAATCTTTAAAAAGGAAGAGACTGAATCTATATCTTTGTATCTTATACAACAATTGGTACAACAGTTTATAAAGGTAGTCAAAACAGATTATCAGCACTGATATTTAAAAAAAATTGACTTGGGGGGATAAATTAAACCGTCACCGTCTTGGCCAAGGGAAGTAACTGCTGTTGCATCCTGTGTCCCGGCCCCGGATGAAAATGAAAACAAGAGAAGGAAGGTTGATGGACATTCTTGTTTATTTACAGATTTAATAACTCCGTCGTGGATACCCTGAGGAAATTTTTAACGGTACTGTATAATATTCCAATCGCTAGATCTATAGAAATTTAGGTGTTTCCTCAGCATTATTTTACTCGTACTCAAACTTTCTAAATCACTTTTAACATTCATTTTTGTCTTCTTTCGCCATTTTTTTTAGTTTTCTAGATCTAGATCTAGAGTCTAGATCTAGCAGTCACTTTAGACTTTAACTTTAGAGTGCGTCTCCTATACTAGAATCTAGATCTATACGCGACGTCGCGTCGAGCGTGGTCCTTCCCACTCAAAAATTAATCAAGTAAGATTATAATAAACCTGTCTCCTTACACTTACACACGACGCGAAGTCTAGACGTGCGCTATCGTCGCCAGCGATCGGTCCGTGCAGCGATCGAAACATCGTTGTGCGTGACAGAAGAAGACTGAGATGTGACAGCATCCCCATTGACTAGATCTAGATTAATTACCTAGCCAAAGAGTGCCAGTCGACATGCTGTGAAATATTGTCACACAAAAAGATGCACACCTTATGGACTCATGACTTATCGCCAGTGACACAACCTCACATTGCACAGAAGGAGACTTTTTAACTCATTCTCGCTACGTAGCCTATTATTATTTTGGGCCTGTGGACAAATTTTTTTCGGGAGGGCGAAATGAGATGATGACTAGTGTTCAGTTCAAAGGTCTTTAGGGACTCAAATTCAAATAACGTCAACATAGAGAGAATAGATCTAGATCTAGATCTAGATCTAGATCTAGATCTAGATATCTATACCAAAACTTGCAGTAATATTTGTAGAATATGTCTGCATTTTTTATTTGTGTATTTTTCAACTTTGGTTCTTGTAAGAGGCGATTTTGCAATACAATGTTGCTTGGATGTGGATAAAATTTGAAGATAAAAGAAATTTTTGAATCATCTTTCATAGCATTCAAAAAATTTGTTTACACCTAGATCTAGATCTAGATATCTGGATCTAGATCTAGTCAAATGGTACATGATCAAAATAGCAACCATAAATGAAGAATTGGTATATTGGAAAATTAACAGTTATTTACGTACATTCCACATAAATTTGTATATTTGGATCATAACATCCGATATTGAAAGAAAAATAATAATTTTTTTTAATCTTTGAAAAAAAAAATGCATCATTAAAGTAAAAAACACTCGTACCTATATCTATGAAATTAAATTATTCAGAATTGCTTTTGGAATAAACCTACACCTGTCTTGAGTGGTAGGTCCCTACTTTTTGTGTAATTTCACCCCCAAAAATGGCCACCTCTATTCTCACCCGTGGTGAGAATAGTGCAGGCGGGTCTTGTGGCTATTCTCACCCGGTGCGCGTGTCAACAAATTTTGCGTTCACCCTAAACCACAGAATTCTACACTGTGTTAAGAGAAAAATTGTAGAATTCTGTGCTGTGAACAAACGTTCCATTACAACTGTACTTGTAGCCTACTAAAAGCGTACAATTTTGTCTGTGGGCAGTGGAGAGAGAGAGAGAAAGAGAGAAAGAGAGAGAACAAAACAAAATGGGGACCCGCGTAGTTCGGCTCGATTCAAAAAGTTAAATAGCCGTAGCATCTTTGTAGACAACCAAATTAATTTACTTTTGTGTTTTACATCATTTTTAAACTTTGTTTTGGTCAATTTGATCGTCCACACCGATAGACAGTATTCAGAAAGAGACAGAGAGAGAGAGAAGAGGGGAGGAGTAGATCTTGCGAGAACTTCCGGGCAGGTGAGAATAGCCACTTTCCCCAAAAATAGTGATTTCGGTAAGAAAAATATTTGACAATTTAGATCTCTAGCACTGAAAAATATTGATTTCTCCATAACAGAGCAATGGCAATTCAAGTTCATTTTTCAAAAATATTATAGTGTTTAAAATATTCTAAAGTAGAGTCACTTGATTTCTTTTGTAAGTAAAATAATTATATTTGTTTTCTTAAGGGGAGGAGCGACCCTTGATTTTGCAGATTTTGGGTCAGGCTATGCACATTTTATGTTGGCTGATTTTTGAAGATCAACCAAATTTTAGTCGAAAAATAGCATGGATACATTTTAGAAAGACTTTATTCTCCAGGTAAATTGCCTTTAAAAACATGAGGATGGATTAATTTAGTGAATTTTCACAATTATTGTCGGTTTTTGCAAAATGTAATTTTTGTGCAGTTTTTTCCCTACTCCTTCCTTAGTTTTCTTCCTTTTGACATGAAACTTTCAGGAAACATAGTTGGCACGGTTGCCATCAATGTAACAGAGAGATATTTGCAAAAAAAAATAATACTTTTCCATTGGCGAGCGATTACGCAACCTAAATTTAGAAAAAGTTTTTTTATACTTTGGGAAATTTGTCACATTTGTATTTCTTTTGCGCTTATTGAAAAAAACTTGCTGTTACTCTAATAGGGTCTGGTTCAGATATACTCTCACCAAATTTGGTCAGATTTGGTCAAATTTGGTCAGTAAATAAGAAAGCCTTAGGGATTTGAAATTCATTGTTAATTTTCAAGATGGCGACTGTTTCCATAGCAACCGCAGTAGCTATACCAAAATAAAAATGCTTATCAAGAGATTTTACTATGCCTAACTTATATGTGTACTTAGATTTGATCTTGGGCAACAAACATAGAAAATGATCCTCAAGGGTAGCTCCTCCTGTTAAAGTATTTAAGACTGGTATCTGGGCTATAATTTGGGCACTGTGATAAAACAAAGTGCTTAAATACTTGGAAGTCGTGTTTCAAAACTGAATTAAAATTTGCGATTTTCTGCGGAAACGCTTGACCGGGAAGTCAATGTTATGTAACCTTTACTTTAACATGGATATATATGGATTGGAATAGAATCCAAGCTATTAGTATAGGTCGGTTCTCGAACCGTCAAGGGTGGCTTGCCGTAGTGAAGTCACTTTAGCCATGCAGCTGCCCACAGCTTGGCGTAGTGAATGAGTTAAAAAGGAAGCAGGCTACTGTGACAAGAATTTCGACTTTTACTTTATAATAGATCTATGTGTCACGATGTGGTGGAAATATATATATATAATTACATAAATAATGTAGTCAAGTATAAATTACAAGTATATTTTCTTGTTGTATCACAATCCAAACTTGTTTGAGTTTGAAAGCTCACTGATTTGACATCAGAGTTTCCTAACGAGAAAAGGAATTTTGCGAAGCCGAGCAATGTGAACCACTTTTGACATCAAAGAAAGGTGTAGAACATCCAGCATGGAAATAATAGAAGACCTCAATGAAAAAAAGTGTCATTCAAAGTACATAATGCATTGGAACAGATCAAACGTGCTTTATTTAACCTGCGATAGAGTGAGAGAGAGAGAGAGAGGGGCCAACAATAAGCTGTACAAATCAAGAGATAGGACTATTTTTTAAAACTAATGAACTGAAACCCAGATGTGTTGCTCAACCAAACCAAATAACTACTCACTATTAAAAGACAAAGCTAGAACAACTATTTTTGTCTTTGTTTGGACTTTGACATGAGGAGACAGAAAGACCTATATATATATGTGAACGGTCTTCTCAGCATGAAGGAGTACAATTTAAGCAAATTATGCGATACACCAAGCTGAAAGACGCACACTTGGGTTTATTATCTGAAACAGAGTGACCAGAAGATCAAAGATCAAAGTTTGCAGGATGATGATATCTATGACCAGGCTCATCCATTGTAAATTGTTCTAGAAGTGCCCATCCATGCCAGTTTCATCATCGCCTGGCTCACCCCGTACGGACGAACATTTCCCTCCATTCCTTACCCTGGGTTAACTTCTTCACGTTTTTCAAATGTCTTTCCACGTTTCTGTTCATCATTCTCTGCGACTTTTCTACACTGGCCCTCCAGGAAATCGCGGTCTTGCGGCGGCCGCGTTTTTCGTCGAGTTCCGCAATAAACCCGCAATTTTTTGCAATTTTCGCAATTTTCGGCAAAAATACATCAACTCTTTAATTTTAACAGAATTTTAAATACGAAATGGTGCGAGTACAGAGCCGATAGGCCTACGTAAATCATGGTATCGGCCCAGCTCAAGCCTACTGAGCGTACTCTAAAAGCTATTATAAATACTATAACCAGAAATTCAGGCCGGAATGCATCATGTACAACACAAACTGAGACATAGGCTAGGCCGAGAAGGTGGTCTTCTCTGGGCTAGGCCTTTATCTAATGTGTGTAAGCGTGCGCGTGTGATAAGAAAGTAGGTGTGTGCGTGTGTGATGTGTATGTGAGTGTGTGTGTGCGTGTGAGTGCGCGCGCGTGAATATTGTTCATACATGATGCATGTGTCTACATACACGGTAACCGGGCACCTAGTCTCAGTATCTACGTACACGGCAACCCACCGGAATTAAAATTAACCAATATTTGTCCTGTGCTGTCACTTGTTGAAATAAAAAAAGAAAGTTATACTCGCATCTTGTCGGGCTCGCCATCGTTACCGGTCAGTGAACCTGTGCTTTCGCATCACATTGTGAGTACCGGTTGAAGTCACAAAAGTTTATTAAAAGTCTGTGCGCTACGAAGTATAGGGCTCCGGAATGGGAAAATTACTGATTTTAAAATGTACAGTCAGGGGGGGGGGGGGGGGGGGCGGGCTGGGGCTGGAGTTGAAGGCAACACCTGATGACAAAAACTGAACTTGGAATTCTTAACTGCCCGGTTACCATGTACGTGACACTGAGACTACGTGTCCGCGTACCGTGTACGTAAACACCCCGTTATGTAAAACGCCTTAAGCTGCGTTCACACGGGAGTGGGTGCTATAGAAATGATCTAGATCTCAATTAGTACATGTGTTACTATTGTTTATAAATGGAAAAAAAAAAATTGCTGTATTTTACGATTTGACTTAGTGTTAAAACAATACCATGCCAGTTTTAAAACAGAAAATATCTGAAGTAGATCTAAATACAGATTACCGGTGTATCGAAGGTTTCAAGAGAAAAATAGAACAGGATCTGGTTTGATTGGAGCATAAGTTTATTTTGTATTTAGAGGTTGTTTCCAAAATCTCTCGTCAATTTTTTTGTTTTTTATAGACTAAACCTCATACACTTCTAGATTTTTGCATGAACCAAGTACCCGGTATGTACTAGATTTGGTCAATTTTTATGCCTTCATTTAAAAGTTATTACGAAAACCGAGGGTTCCATTATTTTGTGTCACGTGTTATCATATTATATTTGGTCGATAACTTTATAGTTAACATACTCGTGTGTTGTTACTAGTAAATGTTAATAACATTTGATGAATTTGTATTGTTTGTCATGATTTTTTAAAAGGCTGTGCTGCTTTTTATGCTACCGTACTCAAAATTGTCATGTTTTTTAAACTAAAAATGTTAAGCCCGTATTAATGCGCCTGGGATGGAAAGGTTGCAATTTTTTGCAATTTTTAGGCGGTTTACCTTTCAATTTTTTGCAATTTTTCTATTTCAAAAATGCAATTTTCCGCGGGGCCAGTCTACACGTTCCACATGGCCTTCCCTTGATCGTTTAACCTGTGGATTCCAAGTTAATATTTTTTTGGGGCGTGCAGCTGCCTGATTTCCAGATGGTGTTCTCAGTCTAATCCATTTCCACTGCTTTCTTCTATCTGAAAATGTTCTGCTTAATACTTCCTCATTGGTGACTCTGTCTGTCCATCTGATCCTGAGGAACTTCCTCAGGCAGTGAAACTTCCTCAGGCAGTTGTTGATGACAACCTGGATCCTCCAGCACTTTGTAAAGAGTGCTTTAGAAGAGCCCTACCCAGCTGCACCACCAAACAATTCACAAGCCAGGGAGTTTCTGTTCACATCTGTGTACATGCTTTCGAAGGTTCTCCCCACTATTGCCAGCAAAGCTCTGGAAAACTGTATCTTAACCCCTGATTCTGTAATCTGTCGGAGCTTCATTGGTTTTACGAAATACCCTGCCCAGGTCAGGGACAATCTGCCTTGTATGTCACACAACTCAAATATATACTAGATGTAAAAAACATGTAGATTTATGAGCCAAGAAAGATCAATGGGAATTGTGCGTGAGTTTTGAGTCTGACAACGTCAGCCAAACTAAGTGGGAATCTCACATGTCAGAAAAGAAAAGGACAAAGAAAGAGCATGCCATGGATAAAACCTTTGCTCTTGGGCAAGAAGACCTCGTGATGATTTGCATGAATCTCCAGGGTGTACTTCAGGCACTGTCTATCAATTCCTCCAGCTCTTATTTCAATAGCATTCACAAAATCTTTAACTTTAATGCTACCTCGTGTGATGCCATCTATTACTTATGACACAAAGGCACAAGGTGGTTTGATTGCAAATAGATTCACAAGTTGTTTGATGGACTTTTTTTTCAGCGTGCACAAATGCCTAGAAGGTTATAACAATATATTATTATACAGCTACTGGTGTGTGTTTGTGTGTGTGTGTGTGTATGCGTGTGTGTGTATGCGTGTGTGTGTGTGTGTGTGTGTGTGTGTGTGTGTGTGTGTGTGTGTGTATCAGAACAAAATTGCATCTGTTTCTAATGCTGTGAGTGCCTTTTCCACTGTTCAAAGCAAACACCGAAATTGAATACAAAATCTTATTAGAGGTCACACTCATATGCAAGTAGATATAGTATGCATGGCGTCATTGAGCGGCGACGACACACAACTATACAGCCCACTAGATTATGTTGCCATTTTGAGAACTGCAATTTTTAAAAATTATGTCAACGAAGACCCTATAAAGTGAAATTTGTGGATCACATTTTCTTCCATGATTTTGCCGAAATTGCTGTCCCCAAAACTGTCAGGTCGGGAAGACAAAAAGAAGACCAAACTCTTAATGCAATATGAAGCCTCTGGTATACATAAAAAGAAATTCTTTGCAAACTGAACTCTAACGAAGAGCGGGAGAGTCTTCTAAAGTCCAGAGAAAAGGAAAACTTAACAAACGGTTCCCCACCACTGTTACTATCATTCTCCTTTAAATATCGCAAAGAGTAATTTTCAGGATCTGAGAGACAAAAAGAGTAAGATAATGAAAGATGATCATTCAGTCATTCACAGGGTATAGAAGTTTGATACAAATCTAGTTCTCAACCCATCCACCCCTCACCCCAATAAAAAAGGACATACACTTACACACAAATGGAGAAAGAAGGATAGAGAGAGAGCACGCAAATGAAGGAGTATTATTTCATAAATTACACACAATATCCTAGCATCTACGTTTGTCGCGGCTGCGATTTTTTGCATTTCTCCAAAAACCTCACTGCCGGGGTATAAAAAAATAGAAAAAACGGGGTATAAAAAAATATTTTAACAGTAACTTCCCTGATGATTGGTTTCAAAACAACCTCTGTCACGGTCCCGTAAATTCTACGGGCCATAGGCATAGGGCTACACGGTTCAGGCCCGTAAATTCTACTGGCGCGAAAGCGAAGAGGTTAATCGACGGTTTTCAGAACAGAAATGTGTTTTTAATTGGACATGAAAGATTTTGAACCACATAATGAAAACTGGAAAAAAATTGTGAAACGGACAGAAAAATGCAGTTTTCATTTATTTCATTATTTTGACAAGGGCCTGATTTCTCCGTGATGTCTCTCATATTATCCAGATCAAATCATTTTGCTTACGAGAGATGTATGGTTGTTTTTGTCCGAACTGTACAATAGGCCAAATTGCATAGTAATATTCCACACTTGTTTTAACAGCTTGGGGGGTGGGAGGGAGGGTATCCCCCTTTATTTCACCATAATTTGATGCTTTTCAATTAGGCTTGATTTCTTGAAAAAATTGATTTGCAAGGGTTTTAGTGGCCATATTATGTGTTTTCTGCAGAAAAAAAATGGCAATTTAGCCTCCAAAACAGTGCATTTGGGTGCAGGTCTGATAGTAAAAATTTAGTTTCCTCTTGGCTTTTGAGTGCTACCACAGCTGTACAAAATAATCGTTGCTTTGGTTTTTTACTTTATCACCTTGTCTTTCATGGACATGTGACTTTTGGTTTAAAAATAATAAACTTAACTTACGAAGTGTGTGACTTACTATGTGCTCCTGAAGTTGAAGCCTGTCATGATTTTTAATGTTACTGAAAATAGTGGAATTCCATGATGAAACCTGACTTGTTTCAATGGGGCATCTAGATTCGGCTGTTTTACTGCGTTTACGTACTGTCAATCTCAGATAAACAAGTGATTGGCATCAATGTGGCGGATGAGTGGACGTGGAAATTACAGATTACATAGAATTTTTTTTATTATATACCTAATCCTCTTTACTACAATACAATTAATGCATAAAGAACGTTTGAAAATTATTCGTTCGAGGAATTAGCAATATATAGCACAAAAAAAGAAGATATTGATTGAAACCTAATGCCAGCCATTTGCACTTGTCAAACATGTTTGATTTAGCGTCTAGATGTATTTTATAACTTGTAAGTACTGTGGGTGTCGCATTCAATGAGGTCACATTCAACGAGAAGTCGGCTCCAACGAGGCAATCCTTAATCCCTGATTTTTCCTCTATATCTCTTTGTAAATGTACGTCGGCTCCAACGAGGTTGCGAACAGACCGAAGTCGCTTTCAACGAGGTCGCGAAAACCAAATAAAAGCTATTAGCAGCCCCAAAAGTGAAGAATTTTTCTCCTTTCTCTCCATCTCACGCGAAGCACAAGGCCCATCGCCGATTCCTAACACAGAGGATGAGGATGGGCGAGGGTTAGCCTGCGGTAGGGATGGGAGGGGATGGGTGGGAACGCGATGCCGGCTGTGTGAAACTGTATGAACTCTGGATGAGTAGGTCTAGATTACTCTAGATCAGGACCTTCATTTCTTTTCAATTTTCTTTTCTTCCCCTGATCAGAAAATCCAAGCTCCCGCCTTTACTTTATGTAGATCTAAGCCTAGATGTGAGAGGGTATGTTTCCACACGAGAAGATTTCAGGAAAAAATTATATTTAAAAATTCAGAAATGGCGGTCGGAGCACAGCTCAAACACGTGCACACTGATGCTGTTTGAGATTTTCGTCATCAGGGGGGAACAACTGTTTTAATTACTGATACAGTATTGGAACATCCTATAATATAATAACTTGTCTCCTTTCTTTACTTTAGCCTTATTCACTTTCAACGAGAGGTCGGATCCAACGAGGACCACAAGCCGGTCCCGGCAACCTCGTTGAATGCGACACCCACTGTATACATTTTGATTTCAGGTTGAACATTTGCTTTGATTTCATCATCATAATATTTGTGTATTCAGGGGGTGATTCTCTGAGGCACAGAAGACATTGAACTATGCCTCTTTCACCTCGTCGACATGGCCTGTATGGCCCTCGTGCTTCATCTGCAGCAAGACTTCGTTTCCTGGACAACACGTGTGACGGCATGGCCCAGAGTAAAGGTGATAATGGTAAGTCTTAGTGGTGTTTCTGCCTGTTGTGGTAGCAAAATAGTATTCTTTTCTTGAGCGGAAAGTTCTCTTAACTCGAAGTTAACTTCAATATTGTCAAAACTGGTTTTATTTGTGTTTGAATCTTGAAACAAACGATAATGAGCTGGACGAGGTTAGTTTTTATTATATTTATCACCCCAAGTGGATGATGGGAGCATCCAGTGATTCTCGCCTGATCCCCAAGTAGGTGGTCCCAGCATCTGGTCAGATTGTACGGTGCATGAAGCATTACTATATATTATAGTGTAATCTGTTACTGACATTAATAGATTTATTTTGACCCGGAAGTGTTAGAGATAAATAAAATGTATACTGCCCCCTCTTTCCCCTTGACGCAGGTTTAGCCATTTCATGAATAGTTTGTGTGTATCCCACGTTACGTGTTTCATGAGATCTGGAAAAAAATTCTGTAATAATGTGGTAAATTATAATTCCGGGATTAAAGAGTTAAAAGGATAGTTTTGAGAAAAGTAAGTTCAAAGTTGGCCTACTTCTTCAATAGAAGAATTCAGGCAGCACTAATTTCAGTGACCCACGCCTCAGCACTATCCCGAGCAAGTGTTGAGTTCCTCGTGCTGTCGGCATTGCCGACCGTTTATGACACCACAGCTCCAGAAGAGAGAGAGAGAGAGAGAGAGAGAGAGAGAGAGAGAGAGAGAGAGAGAGAGGCAACACTAATTATTAATAGTAATAGTCTTTATACAATGACAGTTCTGTTACAAAATATGTTGTTTTGTTTTTCATTATCTTATACCAATGTACAGTGGAGATCGCTGAAATTGAAAACTTATTTCGAAACTGGTTAGCTGAAAGAAAGCAATCCCCAATCTTTCCTTTTCTTTGTTTTTGCAAAAAAAATAATTAAAATCACTGATTAGCAGGAATGCTCGTATTTCTAAACTGGAAGAAAAAACAACTGTGACTGTTATGTCGTTTAATTTTTCCCTACTCAAGTAATGCAAACCACCACGTCTTACATCATCAGTGCCTTTCACCCCTGGCAGGGTATAGGCCACATACAAGCTCCTCCCATTTAGCTCTGTCCTGGACCATCCTTCCTAGCTCGTTCCAAGTGAGCTTCATCTCTCTCATGTCCCTTTCCACACATCTTCTCCATGTTTCCCGTGGCCTACTCCTGCCTCGTGCTCCCTGTGGGTTCCTTTGCTGTGACTGTCTTGTGATGTTTCCACTAGGCTTTCTGAAGGTGTGTCCCATCCGACGCCACTTTCTTAGTCTTATTTCTACTTCAATATCCTTTTTTCCTGTCCTTTCCCACAGCTCTTCATTTTTTATTCTATCCTGCACTTAATTCGTAGGATACTCCTCATACATCTGTTGATGAAAGTCTGGACTTTTTTCAGCTCTGTCTTTGTTGTCTTCCAAGTTTGGCAGCCGTAGAGGAGCACAGACTTGACATTGGAATTAAAGAGTCGAATCTTGGTGGTCAGTGAGATGTTGCTTGCTTTCCAGACTTTTGATAATTGATTGAATGCTGACCTTGCCTAGGTGGTTCTTGCATTTACATCTGTCTCTGTTCCACCTTTACCATCGATAACACTTCCAAGGTAGGTAAAGGAGTCCACTTCTTCTAGAGGAGTGTCTTCCACTGCCACAGTAGGACTCTTTTGTTAGCTTCGCTACTTTCGACTTGCCCGGATGTATACGTAGACGTAGGCCTACACTCCTTGACAGGCTGTTGAGTTCCTTGGTCTTTTCTTGCATCTGAGCATGCGTGTGAGAGGGCATTGCAAGGTCATCGGGGAAGTCCAAGTCGTCCAGCTGCTGCCAAGGGATCCACTGTATTCCATTTCGCTTGCCTCTGGTGGCTTCTTTCATGATCCAGTCAATTGCCCGTATAAAGAGAAAAGGTGACAGCAAGCATCCTTGTCGCACTCCTGTCTGTACCTGAAATGGTACTGAGAGTTGTCCTTCGTGGAAGACTTGGCAGTTGGTTCCATCATAGGTGGTCTTCACAAGCTTGACGATTTTGTCAGGTATTCCTTAATGCCGCATGAGTTTCCACAGAGTTTCCCTGTCCACGCTGTCAAATGTCTTTTCATAATCAATGAAGCTGACCACAAGTGGTGAATTCCATTCAAGCGATTGCTAAACAATGATGCGCAGGGTAGCGATCTGGTCCACACATGATCGGCTCTTGCGGAATCCTGCCTGGTTTCCTCTGAGCTTCTCATCTGTTGCCTGCTTGATTCTCTTCAGGAGTATCCTGTTAAAGACTTTCCCAGGTATGGACAGGAGTGTTATGCCTCTGTAGCTGTTACAATTGCTGAGGTCTCCTTTCTTTGGCAGCTTGATTAGGTTGCCTTCCTTCCAATCTGATGGTATTTCCTCCTCTTGCCAAACCTTTTCGAAGAGAGCATGGAGAATTTCCACTGATGTATCTCTATCTGCCTTAAGGGCTTCCGGTGGTATATAGTCGGGACCAGCTGCCTTGTGGGACGAGTCTTACATGCTTTAAGATAAAGAAACAGTAGAAAGAGACACGAGAATGCACATGTTGTTAGCGGACAAGAAAGGGGGCATTGCCTGCTGTGCTTTGGGATGGATATCGGGCTCAATACGAGGCGTAATTTTGGGGCAGTTCAGGATCAGAGGTCGCTCTCTTCTTAGTATAGTTACAGGAAAACCTTTGGACGAATATGGATGAAACTTGGCAACCAATAAGGGAAAGGCCAAACTTACTACATACGAGTGTACAGTGCTGACAAATGTCTAGAATTGTAGAAATTGCCGTGTTTGTGTGATTTTCTTCTGTTATTAAAAAACGAAGAAGAGTTGCTGTGCCGTTATCGACCAGGTAGGCACTCCGCTTTTCTTTTTTTTTTTTATTGCTGCTAAATTTCAGATCTCTGTGTGTAGTACAACATACCAACTTAAAATTACCATCCATCCAGCGATAAAAGACTAGAGCCTGAAAGAATGTGTGATCGCTAAGCGGCATGTGATTGGCTGCTTAAAACTAAATAGGTCACAAAGGAGTCCATTCCAGGTTTTCCCTATACCACTTTATAAAGTTGTAGAGGGGGTAATCGGTAGGGATAGGCAGGTAGGCCTACCGGTACCCAGTTCCGGAACTCCTGGTTCTACTGGAGGAGGTGCCAGTACCGGCACAAGGCCTCCAGTACCGGTTCTGGGAAGGAGCCGACACCAACGGTTAGTACTGGCTCTGGGGAGGAGCCGACACAAGGCTTTCTCAGGATCAGACCGTATTTCAGAAATATGTGGCTCCGGTATTGAGGGCCGGCCCTTAGACGCCCAGAAAAAGAACGTTGGCCAGCCTGGTTCTCAGTTAGGTGAACGAAGATCAGTGCGAAAAGCGGCGATAGACAAATATGCACTTAAACTGGTGATAGAGCATTCTTGATTGTACAGGCCGGATACCGAGCTGGGTATCTCCAGCATTGAGGGGAAACTATCAGAGCCGCGCCCTTTCGAGAAATAACTATCAAACCCCGCACTTTATGACGATATCAGTACTATTAGATTGCTGATTCCATCCAACAGTCCCCTTGACAAAATTACTCTGTTCAGCCCCCATCCGAATATAACATGTCTTTTTAGAGACGTTCAAACTATTTCTATGCTGAAACTAAAAAACACAGAGGTCAAACAGAAAGACACGACCAATGACAAAGAAAAGGGAAGGGAGAATGAGTAACAATTTAGTAACAAACTAATGTTCGCACATACCCCCCCCCCCTCGGGCAGTGCCACTGACTGTAGTGTCTTTAGGCCATTCCCAAAGGGGGAACATTTCTCGTTCAAGCACAGTAGAATTGTAAATGGACTGACTCATGTCACGCTCATAAGTGTGCTTGATCTACAACAGGGAACTGCTGCTTTTTCTTTCTTAATCCTTACTATTGTCATTTTCTTCTACTTCTTTTGTATGTTTGTCACTCTCTTGTGACCCGCTATTTCCGGGGTGCCTTGATAGTCGAAGCAGACCTTGTGCTGTTGAAGCTAGAGAGGTGAGCAGAATAAGTCTGATTCCCTGTAAAGACGTCTCTGTTGACTCCCACCCCTTGGCACTCATATGACCTTATGCAGTTGCGAGCGCCGTAAAACCCTCTACTATAATATATTTTTTTAATGTTCGCACATGGGCATGTCTCACTGGTCCAATTTTTATACTAAACAAGCAAGATAATGCTGCCCCAACACTTTAAGGATCGTCCCTGTCCTGTAGATGTGTTTTTATACCTGAAAAGCCATTTCTTTCAATGCAAAATCTGATTGATATAATATATACATTATTATATGCTGGTCCCAAATCCAGTAAAATACAAAGGCTACTTTTAAAGTGTTGGTTTTGGTAATCAGAAATCTAATTGTATGGATATCGTCAGAAAGTGCGCGGCTTTGATAGTTGTTGTTTTTTTCTCGAAAGTGCGCGGCTATGGTGTTCTCCCGCACTGAGGACCTGTTATTCCGGGTTACGTCCACGGTGAGTCTGTGTGAGGTGAACAAGGATCAGTGCGAAGCGGTGGGGCGCTGGAGCATTCTCGCTGTTGAGAACCGACGAGTGTGTAGTTTTTTGTAGTTTAAAAAAAAGTCTAGACTAGTGGTTAGTCTCCCAGTCTCTGCATTGTTATCATTGCTTTTGGACGTGCATGTTCTTATTTTCGTTTGGATTTACTATTACCATTTCTACACTTTCCCCAGTTCTTAGGATTACACTTGTGCATGTTCTTATTTTCTATTTGGGTTTACTATTACCATTTCTACTCTTTCTTCTGTTCTAAGGATTACGATTACACTGGTGCGTATATTCGTACATGTATATTATTGTCAGGGGCGGCTCGTGAGGCTAAAAAGTGGACGTGCACAATTTTTAAGCTATCGCATGCTGAAGATAGTCAAGGGCATTGTAAATGAGGCGATGTATAATTTTAGGATCTTTGGGTTGGTGAAGGAGGACCTCGTGCTTTAATTTCATT